CCTCTGCCAAGGAGAAAGGCCTTGAGGACAGAGACAGTCCCACAGTGACTTCATATCCCGCAAAAGAAGAAAGGGTGGGGTTCTCTGGAGAGCAGCACTTCTCTTCTGACCTCTTTCAGAAACTCACGATAGCTCTGTTGAACGCTGTGAGACTGGATCCTGATGTGAGATCCCATCAGGCCCACCGCGCTCACAGTTTGTAGCCACTGATTCGTGGAAGCTTGGGAAGCCACGGCCTCCCTTGCTTCCTCTCACCACCCAGAAATGGATGTGCTTTTGCCGAGAGATGGAAGCCATCCCGGCCTTGTGGTGGGCAGTCAGTCCTCGTGCGAGTTTTGCTGTCACCCTGATGTCTCCAGATGGTACAGGAAGATGCCTCCTCTGTCCGAGCAGGGCCCAGAATCTGTGCCTCGTTTTGTCTCAGCTCCCAAGATAATGACTTGCCTTCTGCACCTGTCTTTCTTCCTCCCTCCCAAGGGGCGGGCTACGCCTCAAGGTGAATCAGTATGGTGAGGCCGGCTTGTAGAGCTTAGATCAGCTGTCAGAAGTCTGTGTGCAAGCAGCATATAGCATCACATGGACTTAGCAGTCCGGAGCCTGGGGAAGGACCAGGGAGGGGCATCTGAATCCTTGTCGCTGCCCTGCAGTGAGCTTCTCCTCTCCTAAACCAAGAGCAGGTTGTGACCACCACAGGCTCAGGGAGTGGAACAGCTGAAATGTCCCTGCAATCCCTTCTGACCCAGGGTCTCTTCAGTGACTCCCACCCTCCAACCAGGTGATCTCCTGCCCTTTGTCTTAACCCCCCCATGTCCTCATCCACCTTGTAGCCAGTGTGATGGTTAGCCAGTTCTTTGTTTGTTGTAATTGTCTTCCACTGTTTTCTCCCTGGACTACAGTTCCTAGGAGGAAGGGGCCCATGGCTGGCTTCATGAGCTGTTCCCAGCTGACCAGAATAGGGCCGGCACTCAACAGACACACAGTATATCTTTGTTGAATGGATGGGATGAGTGAGTAGGTGGTCCAGACTGAGCCTTGGGTTACACAGAACCAGTACAACTGTCACTCCCTCGGCTTCTACTCACCAGATACTAGAAAGAAGTCTCCTCCCCTTGTCGCCCTCCAGCTGAGCCTGCCCAGGCCCAATAGTCCTCATGTGACGTGGTGTCAGGCCTCACCAGCCTGTCGCCTCTGAGTCCTCCCTGGCTCCTTGCTGCTTCTCCTCACCTCTTGGAGTGTGACTTCCGGTGTGGAATGGTGTGGCATGGTGTGGATGTGATAGGGAAGAGAATTAATAGGACCAGCCTCGCCCTCAGGGGGCTGCAGGCTCTGCTCAGGGACAGGCCCTGTCACATCTGATGGGGAAGCCCAGGGTGTCTGGGGATCGCTCGGTGCTCTACCCCATCCACATCCCTCTGTGCCTTCCGCACAGCCTCCAAGCTGGACACGAGCCAGTGTGGTGCAGGCGACTGAGCCCCGGGCACCAGTGTCCACCCAGAGCCACACTCCCTGCTGCGCCTTGATGCAGTGTCTGTCGCTCACAGCCTGTCACCCTCATTTCACTTTGATTTATGGGCAGACCTGATGAGTTTTTGGAGCAGCTGTCTCCCAGGGACGGGGCGATCAATCTAGGAGATAGCTGTTGAACCCTCCTCCAGCAGCCAGGTAGGGAGATGACAGGGACAGAGGGGTGCAGTGCCAGGGGTAGTAGGGTTAGGCCTGTGCCGCTCGCCTCAGGACCTCTGCAGGTCTGTGCTCCCTACCCGCACCCTCTCATTTCGTTCCCTTCCCTTTTTTCTGTCCATCCAGCAGAATCCAGGGTAAGAGTGTACAGATTTCCTTGGAAATTGCCTGGAGGCCAGGCCAGAACACCTCCCTTCCGTCACACACCCGGGCACAGTCAGTGCTGCCTGCTATGTACCTTCAGTGGGGAGCTGAAGGATGTGCCTCTGCAGAGGTTGGCTGGGGTCACCCTTGGGTGTCACCAGCCTTCCACCCAAACAGGGCAGGTTTTCCTGCCTTGTTCTCCTAGACTCGCCCTCCCTGACAAGGCTGTGCCCTCCAGGTCCTTACCTGAGAGCTACCACTCCACGAAGTGGCCATTTTTAAACACCCCTGGAATTGCCTCCCGAGAGGCTTCTGGCATCTTCTTTTTATTTTGGGATGGCTGCAGACATCAAGCCCTCAAGGGCAGATTTGGTTTTTGAAAATAGACTTTTTGATTAGGATTGAGAGAATCCATTGGGAGCCTCATCTAGGTAATAGCATTAATCAAAAGATTGTAGGGCCGGGGATATAGCTCAGCGGCACGGCACCTGGCTGGCAAGCACAGGGTCGTGAGTTCAATTCCCAGTACCAAAACAAACAAAAAAAAAATTGTGAGATACATCTTTTTTTGAAAGAGAAAGACAGAGACACAGAGAGACAGAGAGAGAAAGGGACTGACTGTATAGCCATGGCTGGCCCCAAACTTGTGGTCCTCCTGCCCTAGCCTCCCAAGTGCTGCAATTACAGGTGTGCCACCACTCACAGCTAAAATACATCTTATCACCCATAGCTATGGCTTTGTAGGCCATCCTGAAAGTTCTAGAAGATACCCACATTATCACTGACATAAAAAGGGAGCCCCCTGAGATAGCTGCTTTGGAGGACCCGTATATGCAGGTGAGGGGGATGCAGAGGTGTGTGCTTTCTAAAGCCAGTCTCATTACTCTGGAAACCTACTTTATAACTTTGCAATGAAGACAATCCCAGTCAGTGCTGTCCAGAAAGCCTCCCTGAATAACCAAGCCAGCTTCCATCTGTATCTCCTCCAACTTTTTGGAGATTTAGGGCTGGGGAGGCAGAGAAGCACTAGGTCGCATCTGGGCTGAAAGCAATTTCATGTGCACATCTAAACAGCCAGCTTCTCCCTGCCCTCCTGCCTGCTCACAGGACCCAGAGGCCGAGGCCGAGGTCAAGCAGCAGAAAGACAGCTTGGGGATTTCTCCGCTGGCCTCTTCCCAAATCCACGTCAGCTTTGCCAAGGGCCTGGAGCAGAGCCATGAGCGGTAGGGACAGAGCAGGATGTGACTCTTGCCTTGCAGCAGCCGCCCCCTTGACCTGGGCCGAGTGCCTGCCTACAGTGGCACAGCCCCCTGGATAACTGGCCAGGTAGCCCCACCCCACCCCTACCCGCCTGCTCAGTAACACTTGTAACTCTTCCTGGTACCCAAGACTGCCCTCCCAGCTAGCCCTTGCCCATTCTCCCTCATCGTGCAGCCCAGGTCTTCCTCACAGACCTCTGCCAGGCGCCGCCCTCCTGCAGCCACCCCAGGAATCTCTGGGTTAAGCCAGATTGCCCAGAGTCCAGGCTGAGACTCAAGGAACTGGGTCGCTGCTTCCCCTTGACTAGCCAGGACTGAGAAGATTTGTGATGGTCTGGAGCGGCAGGAGTGGTGGGCTGGAATGGGCTGTGAAAGGTGGAAACAAATCATCTTTTTTATTGGCAATTTTCACAGGGCTGTTCCCTCCCTCCCCTCCTGTCCCCGACAGTGTCAGGCAGTTCTGATGAAAAGTAATAGATGATTCTGCCCTGCTCTCCGTTGTCATTGTGGGAAGACATCAGCCTGGCTTCCGGTGGGTCGCAGCGGAATGACTTCTTCCTCCCAGGAGCCAGGGATCGTGTCAGGCCCCGAAGGAGACAGTGGAGGTCCCCAGCCTCCCCACCAGAAGAGCTCTGAGCCTCTGCTGGGGCTGACAGGAGCTGCCCACGGGGCACTGCTGGCCTACCATTCTTCACACTTGTCTGCACTGCTCACCAAGAAGTGTCACACCTTTCCGTGGCTTTATCTGAGGGACCAGGGCACAGGCTGGAGGGGCTGTGAGATCTGTTCTGAACGGAAGCAGCAGTTTGTAAACCCCAGAATGGAGTCGGGGCACTGGGGGTCTCTGTGTGTGCTGAATAGCCAACAGTGACAGTTCTGGGTACACTGGATAGCAGATACAGAGGCCAAAGGATCTAGAAGTACAGAAGGATCTAGAAGTACCATCTCCGACTGCCAGGGATCCTGGCCCATGGGTACTCAGTTCTCCCTGAACACTGCCGGGTTCAGGCAGCCTGCTGTGTGCGGGCTTCCCACTCAGTCACCTTCAGGGAGCACGTTCTGTAGGACAGACTGGTGGGCCAGTATCCCAGTGGCAGGCCTCTGAGGAAGGCCATTGTGCAAGGCTGTTGGGTGAAGCCAGCCTGTCTCCATCCACAGAGGAAGCCCTTACTGCTCTGAATAACGTCACAGGTCCTCTCCTGCTTCTGCAGCAAATCCCATCTCCTGCCTGTTCCACCAGGCCCTGGAGAACGGAGTCATGTGCCATTGGTCTCCAGCCTCGGTGGCAGCAGCTCAGCACTTGCAGTCCTCCGCACTGCCCCTTGGTGCTGGGTCTTCCCTAGAGGGGCCACCGGCCACTCCGCCTGCTCTAGTCCTGCGCACCCACCTCTGCACAGCATTCCTGCCTTTTTTCCTCGGCAGATCCAGCAGATGCCCAGCCTAGAAAAATACCTCCTTCCAAATGCTCTGTGCCCTTCTGCCCTCTGCCCCCCACCAGCTGCCCAGACAGACATCCTTAAAACCAAAGGAGGAAGAAGGAACATTAATGCCAACCCAGCCTGCTCCCTGCCAGGAGCTGTCAGAGTCCTTGAGAGAGCCTTGGGGCTGGGGTTGGGTGCTGGTAATGCTGACCAAGCCTGGTTCACCCTGCTGATCACCCAGCACCTCCCTGCTCTGGAACATGCCCAGTCTCCCCCTCCACTAGGGAAGGAAAGAGAATAGAACATGGAGAGGGACGCATGGGACATTGATCTAGTTCAGCAGCCGCTGCTGACCTGGCCCAGAGCATGGCTTTGGAGTTGCATGAATCTACGTTTTAAAGATTCTTTCTCACATGGCTCTGGGCCCCACACCAGGAACTGTTTGAGGCAGGGTGATTCCATCCCCAGTGGCTGACTGCCCCATCTTGTTTTCCAGCTTTCGCCGTCATGATCGTGCTGGCCCTGGTCCGAATTGGGAAGGGGCAAGGGGAGGGGCACCCGCCCCTGGCTGACTTCTCAGGGCTGCGGAACCTGTTTGGGGTGTGTGTCTACTCCTTCATGTGCCAGCACTCCCTACCGTCCCTCGTCACCCCCGTCTCCTCCAAGCACCACCTCACGTGCCTGATGTTCCTGGACTACACGCTCATCCTGGCCTTCTATGGCCTCCTCTGCTTCACTGCCATCTTCTGCTTCCGTGGCGACAGCCTCATGGACATGTACACACTCAACTTCGCCCGCTGTGATGTCGTGGGCCTGGCCGCCGTCCGCTTCTTCCTGGGCCTCTTCCCTGTCTTCACAATCAGCACCAACTTCCCCATCATCGCCGTGACCCTCCGCAACAACTGGAAGACGCTCTTCCACCGCGAGGGCGGCACCTACCCGTGGGTGGTGGACCGCGTGGTGTTTCCCACTATCACCCTGGTGCCCCCTGTGCTGGTGGCCTTCTGCACCCATGACCTGGAGTCCCTGGTGGGCATCACGGGGGCCTACGCGGGTACCGGCATCCAGTACATCATCCCTGCCTTCCTGGTGTACCTCTGCCGCAAGGACACTCAGCTTGCCTTCGGCTATGGGACCATCAACAAGCACAGGTCTCCATTCCGCCACACATTCTGGGTGGGCTTCGTGCTACTCTGGGCTTTCTCCTGCTTCTTTTTTGTCACAGCCAACATCATCCTCAGTGAGACCAAGCTCTGATGGCAGGACGTCCCTGGTGACTGGAAGGCTGGGGGTGACATCTAGATGCTACCCAGGCCTTCATGGGCAGGCAAGGCGGGGGCTCTCTAGGGGCCTTCCTCAGCTAGAGGTCTCCTCGCCAGCAGGACACCGCCTGATCTGCGCCTGGCCTTGCCCACTGGGGCAGCATGTGGCTGCTCCCAGATTCTAGAAGGTACCCCTCTGTTTCACGTTCCACCCCTGCTCCTGGAGGCGGGCTCCTCCCTCTGAATGGTGGAAGAGGCAGTGCTGGCACTGCCACTATTTATACCAGACCCTGTGTCCCTCCTCAACTCTCCCCAGCCCCTCCTGCGCCCTTATCTATCCACTAGCATCTGCTGCCTCTTCAGGGGCCAATCCCAGGCCATAGCCATCCTAACTCGGCCTGCCTGTGACAGGCAGGACCCACCTTCCTGCCAGGCCTGAGTTGCTAAGTGCCACTCCTAGGGGTAAACCTGGCAGCCCAAGTGACAAGAACAGCAAGTGCTAATTGGTATCAGGGTCCCCAGGCCAGAGCTATGAGAACCCTTGCTGTGGGTGCCAGCTCTGGGCAGCAGGAAGATGGCACATGCCTTCTGCAGGGCACACAGCAACCTGCAAGCTGGGGTCAAAGCCCGGGGAGGTCAGGCCTCCTGAGCAGCAGCCCAGCTCGCTGCCGTGCTCTGCTGTGGCCCCTAAAGGTGGCCCCCTTAGAGCCTGGCTGTGAGTGCTCTCCATGGCCCTGGGTGCCGTGGGTTGGATGGAGCACCCGCCACCATTTCCATGGCAGGAGGCCAGGCTCCCAATCACCTCTTGCTCTCAATCACGCATGTACCTACGGGCCAGGCACCTTAGAAACAGGTGACTCTAGCGAACTGCATTTTCCACGTGCCTTCTGCTTCGGAGCTAGGGACCCTTCCTGACCCTGGCTTTCCCCAGCCCTGGGCCTGGCCCCACCCATCCTGGAGCCAGAGCAGCTTGCCTCAGAGCTGCCTCTGGGGGATCTGGGGGCTCAAGCCCCTGCCCTTCCCTCTTGATTTCAGTGCCTTGCTCAGCCCTTGTGCGGGAACTTTCACCCGCTCCTCCCTTCAGTGTCTCACCATCTTTAAAGCTGGGACAGTGTGATGATGCTGGGTGTCCCGGGGCCCAGGGCAGTGTGCAGGATTTGCAGGGGATGTAGATCTTCCAGGCGGCACCCTTCCACCTCTAGCCCTAGCATCTCCACCTCTAAGAGTCCTGGGTGACAGTTGACCTCAGTGTGTTTTGTCACTACTGTCGCATGCCAACAGTTCTCATGGCTTTCCCACGTGGCATCAGCTTCCATCCATGTGAAAAGAAACACCCCTTCCCACCCATCTGCCATTGTGGCATCCTCCCAGGGAGGCTGTGCCCCGGAATGCACCAAGAGGCCAGCACTGTAGCAGTAAAGCCAGAAATGACGAAGACCTGCCCATCGCCTTGTGCTTAGGCTTTCCCTAAAGCTGCCCGGCTGTTTGCTGAGAACTCAATTAAAACATCTGTATTTACCCTTCTCCAATTATATTCCCTCTTGCTTAAGGACAAAGCAAATTAAATCATTGTGCCGCCCCGGGCTCCAAACCAAATTTTGGACGCAAATTTATTAGCATCATAAAGCTCAGGTTGATTTATGTGACAATCTGGAGCCACCCACAGGAGTGGAGTCTGGTGGCTGTGTTCCCCTCCACCTCCAAGCCAGGACAGCCCCTGCCCTGGATGAAATTGGCCCAAGGTGACCACATGACAGATGCCGAGCTGGGCCCTTCCCCCTACCAGTGTCTGGTTTCTTTGCTCCTCTGACTCCACCTTCTGTCTGTGCTGCTAGAGGTCTCATGAGGTCACCTTGTTCTACACCACCAGGCCTCTGCCACTGATAGCCAGACAGGCTGCGGGGAAGAAAGACAGAACCCTAAGTAGCTAGATACTAGGGTGATGCTACGTACATTAACCCTGGTCAGCTGTGAGTTTTTACATCAGTTTGGTGAGGTGGGCAAGTTAGGTCATGATTTCCATCTGCAGAGAGGCCTGGGGGTCCGTGGTAGGGAGGAAGCACAGGATGCCAGCCCAGGCTGGTCCTGGGTACAGGTGTCACTGTGGAGGAGACATTAAACTCAGCAGCCTCCAGCGATGTCATCCACCTGGACCAGTCCCCAAGGACAGGCAAGATCAAAGTGGGAGTAACATTCTTCTCGCACCCTGCCTAAGCACCAGGCCCACCTGAGCACTGGAGCCTGGTGCCAGCAGTCCTGGCTGTTCCTCACCTGAGGCCAAAGTGGCGGCCGAGGCCTGGAGATGAGGCAGATGGCTCTTGACAGCCTGGGAGGAACTGCTGAGTGTTGGAAGGTGTTTGTGGGCACACGGCCAGGCCTCAGGCCACACAGCTGTGCTCACCATACAGGGCAGGAGCAGCCTCAGCAACAGGCTGATGCCAGAGCTGCTCTGCCTCCCAGGAAATCAGCCCACGGGAAGTGTCTGGCAGTGCCAGGCCCAGGGGGAGCAGAAGGCTGAGGCTTCAGCCTGTAACAGGAGCAGAGTCCCAAAGAGGGCTGACTCCTATCAAGGGGCACAGAAAAACTGACTCTTAGAGACGAAGATCCAGGCTGCAGAAGAGTCCTGCCATCTCTCCTCTGCACAGCTGGCAGTGTCAACTGCACACTGAAGAAAGTAGCCTATAAGGAGGGCACGCTATGTGCCTGGCACAGACTGTGCAAACCTCCAGGGTCCCTTCCTCCTCTGTGATGTTGGGGAGCTGGGGGACCTATATGGCTGATTGTCATGGGAATTAATGGAATGAGCTTAGTGCCTGGCACAGAAGCACTCAATAAAGCTATTTAGTGATGCTTATCTCCCTTGTTGCTTGCCTGCCATAGCTGCAGTTGTAGCCCAGGACCTAGGACTCACGACTCCAGACACTAATTGCTTTCATGGCCTCCTAATGAGAGGAGGATTGTAGCCACTGCCTGCTGCAGTTCACAAGCAGGAAACTAATCAGAATTCTTCAGGGTCTAGAGGGCTTTTTGGGGAGACAGGTTGGCTCTGGTTCTCTAGCCCCCTAGAAGCTTGGATAGCCCTTCCCTTCCAAAGAGCAAGGCAGAGCCAGGCATTGCGGTGCACACCTGTAATCCCAGCTGCTCGGGAGACTGAAGCAGGAGGATCATAAGCTCAATGCCAGCCCAGGCAATTTAGGCCCTGTCCCAAAATTTATAAAGGGCTAGAGAGGTAGCAGTGAGTGGTAGAGTGCCCCTGGGTTCAATCCCCAGTATGGGGGCGGGCAAAGCAGGAGAGGCTGGGTCCTGGTGGAGGACATCATGCTGGCCCTTTTCTGAGCTCTGCCCCCTCACCCCCAACCTAGCTCCCTGGTAAAAGCTGGAGTGGACATGAGATTTTGGCTAAAGACAGATGAGAGAGAACAGCTAGAGGAGTAGCAGCAGGGAGCTTGCTAAGACTATAAGATTATCCTACTGTGAGGGTAGTGACAAAGTCTCTCCCAGTGTGCTACCAAAATGAACAGTAGCCCTGGGGTCCCCCATTCTTCAGGCCCTCCTTTAGGATGCTTCCACATCCGTGGTATCACTTCCTTCTCCCCTGCTAGGCTTTCTGCCTCCCTCGGAGAGTCCGGATAGGCAAAACACTGTCCGTCTGAGCAGGAAGCCGGCCGCTCCATCTCTGAACCACCGTCAGTGTCTTCCTGCATGTCTTCTCCCAGGCACACCCCTCCCATATATTCCTAGAGAAGGAACAAGGCACCCAGCGCCTGGCCCTGTGAGCAGAAGCTGCCCCTCCTCAAAGCCAGCAGCAGGCTCAGCTCCACACTTGGCTTTTAATTAGCTTTCCAGTTCTTGGTTATTAATGATCTTGGGCAGCAAGCAGAGCAGCCTAGACCTCACGGCTCCTCCCAGCCTCACCTGCTGCAGCTTTTGCCCCAGAGCTGCCCTGCAAACTGGGCTCAGGGAGGATAAGAGGTCAAGCTAGTGGCCAGCCCTGAACCCTGGGCCCATTTGTGACTATGCCAAGGTCAAGCTCCTTTCAAGCGCTCACCTGGACTCACGCTCCCTACACATTGTCGAGCCCTGCTCCCGGACCTCGCTCCAGCCAAGAAAATTCACGTGGCAGAGAAAGTGAACTTGACCATAACGGACGGGGGCCACCCGTTTTGGGGGCAATCAGACTCACTATGAATGGAAATATAGTCCATCCTACCTTTTCATCCCTAAAGTAGGGGGCTGGGGATTTAGCTCAGCGGCAAAGCGCCTGCCTGGCAAGCGCAAGGTCGTGAGTTCGGTTCCTGGTACCGGAGAAAAACCAAAAAAAAAAAAAAAATCCCTAAAGTAAACCATGAAGGTCAGTTCTCCCGGCCTTCTCCCAAGCAGTGGGGTCTTTGGAAATTGAAAAAGGTACCCAGCGTCTTGGCCACCAGCAAGGAGCTATGGGAGAAGAAACTGGCCAGAGACTCCAGCGGTCTTTGCATTCAGCCCTCCCCAGCTTCCTTCCTCTCTGTCCGCCCAGCCTCACAGGACTGCCAGCCCTCAGCCTGTGCACCCACAGCAGCTGGGGAAGGGTCTAGCAATTGACGGTGCTCCTGTGTGCTCAGATTAGATTGACACATGGATGCCTCTTTGCTTCACAGTTACTGTGGGAGGACAGATGTAATTGCACGTGTGAAAGCATTGCATACCGTAAGCAAGAACTATCTTATGAGCTGGTACAGGGCCAGTGATGTGTGACAGCAAAAGGAGGTTGGCTGGGAGCCCCAGAGGGAGGTTAGAGGGCTGGAATGATGGATGGATTCTCCCACCTGAGAAGTCCTGGCACCAGTGAGGCAGAGCCTCACCCAACCCTAATGCCACTTGGCCAAGATCGAGAGCCCATTGAGCAAATGCAGCCAGTCAAGGCACAGGCCAGTCCAGCAGGCTCCCCACAGCAGACCTCCCACAGCCTTTCCCACCTTGACACTGTCAGGCTTCCAGGGGGTCCCTGGCAGGGCGAGACAGCCACAGCCCTGGCATAAGCTCTCTTTTCAAGGAGATTTGAGGGATGAACTGCATTCACCATGCCCAGGCTAAGCACATTTGTCACATCCAGCACTGGGGTGAACAGGCACTGATTACCAAGTGGCTTCTGCTGCTCGGAGCCCCTTTCTCAGCTTCACCTGCTCCCCATGTCCCTCCCTCACACTCTTGAGACCGTCTCCCTCAGAGGAAGCTACCCAGCTAATCCAGTCAGCCCACCTGGGATACTCCCATGATGCTCCTCTTGCCTACAGGCTGTGGTGCCCACTCCAGGATGCAGAATGAGGCAGCCAGGACCAGTGAATTGTAAAAGGTCAGTTTAATGTCCCGGAGGAGACTCCAGCTAGATGGAGCAAGAGGCAGGATGTCCCTGCCCTAACCTCAAGTTCCAGCCTCCACGCCCCCAGGCCAAGGCCACAGCAGCCATGACCAGGGACTAGCTAACATCTGGGCAGGGTCACCCTCTGGGGCGCTACCTCTTCTGCTCGCTGTGATTCAGGCTGGGTGGGCAGGACTTCGTGTGATTGTGGAGACAGCAACAGCCCAACTCACTCTAGGGCCTGAGCCTGCTAAGGTCACTGAGGTGGCCAAGAAAGCCATCACCTGCCAATTGGGTTACATGGCCAGGATTTCACAGTAGAAGCCAAAAACGATCGAACCTGCCTGTCCCCTACCCTCAGCAGTGCCCCGCAGAGAATCCAGAGCAGCAGGAATCAGAGCGCCGGCACCTCACACTTCTGACTCCAGACTGGAGATCCGCCGCCAAGTGCAAGGCCCCAGGAAGCCTTGCGTCCCACAGGCTCCCCTGCTGACCTCTTCCAACACCCCACTGTCCCTGTAGCCTGTGCTCAGCCCCGTGGTCCTGCCTCTGTGCGCTGGAGGGCCCCAGGCCTCAGTGAGCCAGGGACTTTGGCTGGCACAGGGTGGGAGGTGAGGGCAGACGGCCCCCCAGCAAAACGGCAGTTGGGCATGGGTGTGCAGGCAGATGTGCTGCCTAGGCTGCCAGACCGGGGCCCCAGCAGGCACGCCCTCCCAGCAGGCCTCCCGGTGGGACAAGAGCCGCGTGGACTGTGCCTGTGCCAGGCGCCTGCAGGCGGGTCGGGCATCGGGACAGGCGCAGGCGTGGCCGGCGCAGCCGAAGGTCAGCGAGCCAGGGCGAACGAAGGCGTTGGCCACTGAGCTGGGCAGGGAAGCGTGGCGCGGGCGCGGACCGTGGGCCCAGGCCGCGCGCAGCAGAGCCTCCCGCCGGGCCAGCTGCTCCGGGCCGAGCAGGGGCAGGTCAACCGGCTCCGGGGGCTCCGGGAAGAGCGGGAGGAAGGGGCGCCGGGATCTGTCGGCCCGAGGGAAGGAGCTGTAGTGACAGTGTGCGGGGGACAGGGGGCGCTCTGGGAGCGCGCGCCGCTCGGAGGCGGAGAGGTGCTGCTCAGCGTACCCCGCCCGCACGGGCCACCGCGTCTCCCAAGGCGGCCGGCCGCACACCTGGGAGACGTCGGGCAGCTGCGTCCCGGGCGTCGCATAGCAGCTCGGGGGCTGGGGGGCCCTGCGCACCAGCGTGGCGCGACCCCCCGAGGGAGGCCCCCAGCTCCTGGAGCTCGGCTCGGGCGGCGGGGCA